TGTCTCAGAATGAGACGGGAAGCAAGTCTGCACCATTGCTCAGCATACAACTTACTCTGCAACAGTAGATGAGAACGCAGCAGTTGTAGAGGCAGTTTTGTAAGCACTGGGCTTTGTCCTGAACTGAGACTGTATTCACAGTTAAAATATGTTCACCAGCACTTATTTTCATTCACTGCTGATTTACATAGATTGTCTGAAGTCCGTTTTCCAACTTTGAGGTGCGTCTTCCCAAGTAAATCCAGCAGGCTTAATTCTCCATTGCCCAGCAGCTTGTGCATTCAGTTCTGCCCGTGTAAAGTGGTGGCAAGATCTAGTGCCCCAGTTCATTAGGATTTTACACACCTTTTGTACCATTTTTTCATGGGGAAGGCACAAGAGTGATGCATGACTACACCAAATATGAAGCAGCAAAAGGTTGGCCCAATATTTTATTGCCTGTTCCACAAGGGTGCGCAACATAATTCTCATTTTGCACCTGCAGATCTGAAATCAAACCTTACCCTAAGTTTCCAAAGGGCATTGTGCAGTCAAAAGCAAGGACTTATTTTAGCCACCAAGTCTCTCATGTTTAACACATTCTTCTTCTTACTCTCCCTCAGTAACTTATAGACTGGAGTAGATAAGAGCAGACACGATCTATTACAAAGAGCTTCCAAACTTGAAGGATTAGCCTGTCGTTGAAAACAAATTTGAAAAGTGGCGTTCAGTACGTACCAGCAAGTATAAACTTTCTTTGCTGTGTCGTGATTATTGCGGATGTGTCTACGCAGACTGTTGGAGGCATTAAATGAGCGTTCACACTGTCGACAGGGGTATCTCTTCATGGACTAGCAGAAGAACAGAAATATCTTTTAATAACAGGGAGATGGAAGGCACTGACTGGATTCTAACATTCCCATGCTCTTCATCTGGACCTTACCTCTCAGCTGCAAAAAATCCCTCTTCCACTGATAAAGATCACTGAGATTTTGGGGTCCCACAGCCCACCAGTTGGCTAATACCAGCACTGGTCTTATAAAAACCAGGACTAGTTAAAGCACATGCTTGATTATTTTTTTTTAATAGGAATTGCATTAGCTGCTTCTCCTGTGGGCTCATTTCACTACAGGACCCTCTGCAGAACTAATTCAGTGGAAGGTCCCTTCTGCCCCAGAAGAAGGCAGGACCCCAGTGTGAAGTACGAGTCCACTTACCTTTCTCTCTCCTCATAATTCAGCACAATAAAAGGGTAAGATATTAAAGAGCATCACATAGTCCCGCTTGTCATCCATGTATGATATCCACATCCCCCTACACAACTCTGCCCTGTAACTAGCCTCCTCTTCCTACAGTTCTTCGTATAACCTGCATGCATTCCATTTAAAATCTTCTTAGACTTGTTTAATGAATACATGTATGTATTGAACTTAAATATTTGGCAAATTTCCTATGTCTACAGGATTCAAATGGGAAAATCCAGCATTCTCACCCTGCCCCCATCTTCTTCTCTTGATACTTATCAAATGGGACAATCCAGCACTCCCCAAGTCAAGCTAGAAGGAATCAAAGACGATGATCCAGATTATCAAATGGGACAATCCAGCACTCCCCAACTCAAGCTAGAAGGAATCAAAGATGATGATCCAGACTTCCACAGCCTCTGCTCATGGGACTCGAGAAGGGTGACTCAGTATATCAAACAAGAAGTCCTGATACCAAAGTACTAAGGAATCTGGCTGCACACATATTGGCCTATGTTCTGCCAGCGAGCAAGGATTAGCTTGACAGAAGTAGGTCAAGGCAACACAAGGCTTGAGCTGGATGAAACCAACAAAATTGAGATTTACAGTTCTTATAATGATAGCTCTGCGCACTGCATGAGTCTGTTACTCTTCCCCAGTTAGATGTAGTGATATCTACCAAACAATACAACATCATTTAAAGGAACTGTATGTCCTTCTGTAACTTTGAGTGTAGATAGTTTAGATCAGACTGTTGAAGCAGCAACTGGAGAAGACACGACTTTCCATCCACTTACCCAGATGAGCCGAAGAGGAAGCCTGACATTAGATGCAGTGGAAGAAGGAACAGCAAAGAGGATGAGGTACGCAGGTTGTAGAGTATATGATCAAGGACAGAAAGTGTGCTTACAACAGGCTACGCAATTTTTTTTTATTCTGGCCCTGAGCTTACTCCTCAGTGAGCTGGCAAACAGATTCTTGGTTTCTTTTTGCCCCAAATAATAACGATTATCAGACTCTCTTGCTAAAAATATCTTGTTACCTAGTTGAAGTGTTTCGTCTGAGTCCTTACCCTTCCATGACTTCTCTTCATGTGGGACACATAGGTTTCCCGATCAGGGATCCACTGTGAACATTCCTTGCAAGTCCAACCAGTTCTTCTCAGTCTGGACTTGGATTCAGGATTGTGTCCTTCCACCCTCATGTCCTTCCTTGGCAGAGGGGAATGGGAAGTCCCGTTGGCTACCAACAGCTCCTTTGGTGGGGTATGAATCTGGTTCCTTGATGCCTTCTCAGACTTCTGTCGAAAGTTTGAGAGCTCCTCAGGATTTTGGGGGACTCCATGAACACCCTGGATAACAATAATAATGGAACCACACATAACATTTATATGTAATTCATATTATACACCTTTATTTATAAATAAATAACATTTATTATTTAAATAAACAATTTAAGCTCCCGCCCCCCCAAAACAGTATGTTGATGTCTTGCTCCTGCATATCTTCCCATTTACCCTTGAAACCAGCTCTAGTGCTTTCCCCGAGAAAGAAGAAATTTTCCCAAGAAACATGAAGCTTCTATTTATGTTTCCTGCGTGACAACAGCAGCTCCTTGGTGCTGCCTGTTTAACATTTTGGATGAGCTCTGAGAACTCTGGTTAAACAGGGAAGATGTAATGGAAGAGAAATGTTAATTGTCATTATTTCAAGAGCCTAAGCTCTAAAAACACATTGCTTTGGTAAGCTCTGAATGAAATGTTTGCTGTTATCTCGGGGGCTCCAAAGCTGCTTCATCTTTGCTCAAGGGACGGGAAGAGACAACCTCTCATTTTCTGCAACCCTACTTTCCTCAATTCCACAATGCCTATTGCTATTTACATTTTCATGGTTCAAAACTTTGCTCTTGACAAATAAAAGCAAGCATAAAGCCAGAAACCAGCCTTTTAAGGAATTCGTCTCCAGGCTCTTTGGTTGTTCAACAGGCCAAAATCCAAAGTCCCCCAAAAGTTATTTTAACAAAGAAAATTGAACATAAGGAAAATAATCCAGAAACGAAGAGCTGTGGGAAAGCAAAAGCAAATAAAATAGCAACATACCAAAGAAACCTCAAGAAACTCCCCTAGGAACAACAACAGTTCATCCACACAAAAGGATAATTTAGAGGTTTAATTGTGCACAGTAATTAATAACGGGTAAAGTTTCAACACACGAAGGCCCCAGGCCTTTGGAAGTCTTTCTGTGGGTTAGACACCAAACAAACTTCAAAACACAAGGTCTCATCTGAGACGCCTGTGTGCTTAGCACCTGATCCAGCTGATGTCCGCAGAGGCTCTTTCATGCAATGGCAGGGCAATGACAGCTGTGCTCCACAGCATTGCCAGCTATTTAGGGTAACACAAACACTTCACCTTTCTCCCCATCTGGAAATCTCAAGAGTGTTTTATGAGGAAAGAGTACATTAGCATCCATTACTCCATTCCTCCTGTTATTACACCACTGGAGGGTAAAAAAAAGGAGCACAGACAAATGAACTGACTTCTCTGCAGAATCAATAACAGGAACCAGACGTTCTAACTCCTACTCTTACGCTTTAACAACGGAAAGCCAGGAAAGATGAGAAGGCACCCGGTTTCTTTATTATGCATGGAGGAGCAAATTAGACAGCACCTCCTATAAACTCTATATTGCATAAAGGAGCGGGATCTGATAGGAGAGGAGACGGGTTAGTGCCACAGCTACCCGCCACAGCCAAAAAGCCTTCTTCAGTTACCATCTCGAAGACCTATTGATGGCCATGGTTAAAAGACAAATGTTTCGTAGTGGAGATGTCAGGATGCTGGTGCACAAACTGCTGCAGGCAGGTCCCTGGAGGTGGGATTTGCAAATGAGCCGCAACAAGTTGTGTACCTCAACTCAAGCCTGTCTTTTAGCATTAGAGTTGAATGCCTCTTTGAAGGTCCACGCCTTAATCTCGACTCTATTTTCCTAGCTATAATACAGGAAGATTAACAATCATCAACTTCACAGGAGGGATTCAAATTTTAATTCATTACTGCATGCAAAGCATTTCCAGATTTGCAAGTTAAAGGCATGGGGGAGAGAGCAAAGAAGCAGTTTTGATGGTTTTTTCTTTTAGGAGTGAGCTAACAAATCTTCTTGCTTTTTAAGTGTAAGTATAAACAAAATAAAGTCACTTATTAAAAAAAATGATGTCACTTTTTTCCTAATCAAAGGGAAATAAGACTTTGCAAGCCCTTTCTTCAGAATGCCATCATGAAATCTTCTGAGAGGATTTCCACGGCAATGTTGTTAGACACTGTACATAGAAACATACGGACTAAGACAACAGAAAAATGCAGCACTCACACATTCATGAGATAATCAGATCTGCAAGTCCTCACACGCATCCCGCTAGAAACCACCACCAAATGGACAATAACCGGCTTTTCATAGGTATAAAAGAGCGATGAATGATAGTGAGATTATTGCAGTGCTTATTGCAATATGAGCCGTTACTGAGGGTAAATAGCAAAGCACTCTCCGGACCACCATTTCCACCAAGTTTTGGGGTTCCACACAACTATTCATTTCAGACCATCTTCTGGAGCAGCCCGAGTGGTGCCAGCGTGGACGCACACAAGGTGGGGGTCCCACCTCCCGAAGGCTGGTACTTCCAGGGCAATCACTTCTGCCTCTGTCACTCCCCTCTTGCAATCTGGTGTGGTTCTGCAGGCAAGTGGCGCAGCCAGGCAAGCGGGGCATTAAGTTCCGTGCAGCCTCTCTCCAAGGCAGCTGCAAGGGGGCCAAAGCTTTCTAGGTGAGCACCCAAGAGAGGGAGATTCAGCTTTCATTATATAAATTGAGTAACACTGTGGGCAGAGAATACTTCTTCTGTCTCCCAACCAAAGATAAAGCTCCCGCCCCGCTTTAATCACTTCCTTGGGTTTAATATAGAACAGTTAAAAATCAAAAAGATCTACCCGTAGAAAACAAGCCTTTGTCATAAGGTTAAATTACATATAGATAAGAGTAACTGCCTGCATTATTACCAACTAACACAAATGCTCCACTGATGTTTCCAGATAATACTGTAAATCATTGTAGTCTACTTTTCCACTAATACATTCCTCAAGAACCTTCCACTTCTTCAAGCAATTTCCTCACACAGTTGATATAAACTCTCTGTCAACGCAAAAAATAGGACCTCGTATCAGTAAGTGGTGGGAGTTACCTACCTTAACGTGCTGCATTAACTGCTGTTTCTGCATATACACCAGCTGACACTGTGGGCACTTAAACACTCCCACTAACAACTTGTTGGTGTTCTGCTGGAAGTGCTCTTGGAGCAGCTTCTTCTTGTTAAAGACAGTCTCACAAGAGCATTTGTAGATCACCCTGGAACAATTAAAAAAAGTAAACTCAGTCTCTCTTCATTAGTTATCTTAGTAAGCCAGTGGAAAAAATTATCTCAGCAACTTCAGAAAGGGATGGGCTTCTGAGGAGGGCTGTGCTCTCAATGTATTGTCAACACACCCACGTGGACAACTGAACCATTAACTCAACTGGGAAGAACAACAAAATGCCTCAGGCACATACCACAGCTTTCTAAAAATAGGTTTACTTCTATGCATATGCATAACTACCTACGCGTGTGTGTGTCGGTAAGTGCAGACAGATGGGAGCAAACTCAAAGTATACTAGCTAGCTACACATTACTTTCAATCCCACCTTTCCACAGTCCTTCCCTTAAAGCACACATTTTCAGCAGTAGCTCAAGGCTTGGAGGGGAAAGCTACAGAGTGAAAAAAACAGGAGGTTTCTCTCTAGTGATTTTTGGGGGCAACGCTGCATGGCATAACTCTCCTCTTCCTTTCGAGTGCCAGATGCAGCAGTTACCCTGGAGCCATCTACCAAGAGGTGCCACTCTGGGTCCTGCTGGGAAAAGAGGTGACAATTAAGATCCTTTTATGGATGTTCAGCTCTTCCCTGCCCAAACTCCTCTCCTCCTACCCAGGGAGACCACGTTCGTACCAAGGAGAGCACGCTGAGGCTACGAACGGACCCCTGCCGGCAGACAAAGTGGCAGCTCTTCTTCTCATATGAGGAGAGAAACCGAAAATAGAAAAAAATTCGGAGGGAAAGGGGGAATCCCGGAGCTACCCAGCAAAGGAGAAGAAGAGATAAAACCAAAATGCTTACTGAGTAGTCTTGTGAGGCTCTGCTGGGTGCTGGCTGGTCATGTGAGCCGTGGTGCTGTCGGCCGACTTGAAGGCCATCGGGCAAAAAGAACACTTGTGGAAGACTTCACAGTGTTTCTCATGGATGTGCACTTTCAGCATGGCGAGGGTCATGAAGACAACTCCACAATGGATGCACCTGGGGGATGCACAAAGAAAGAGCCGAGTTACAGCCACAGTGCTGCTTCCAACACACACGCAAAGCGACGCAGATGGAGGCAAGCACCAGGCTACGGCAGATCCTTGTTTAGTCTCTTCAATAGCAACGTGGAAGAGTCAAGGAGGAATACAACATAGGAATCCACAAGCTGGGCAGATCTCACAACTAGATGTTAGCGACACACAAACGAGATTTATAAAAGAAGCCTTCGGAGACTAACAAAACAACCCAGAAAGAATAAAGGAAGAAGTACTTCAGCAAAATGCCAGCCCTGTATCTGTGAAAGCCAATTCCGCCACAGGTACAAGTGAAGAACTAAAGTAAAAGTATCTGATGAGATCTCCGGGTAGCAATAAGCAGCATAAATACCAGTTAATCCCCAGTACAAAATAAACAGAAGAAGAATATTCAGCTAGGAAATCTTCAGTAACCCTGTACAATTGCTTCTCAAACTCCACTAAGCACTAGAAAATAATGACAGCAACAGCAAAGATACTGAAAACAGCAACAGAAACACCCAAGGAACTGATTAAGCTCATTAAAATCATTAAGACACAGGTGTTGCCTGGAAAGTGCTTGTCTGGGAGCTGGGGGGATGCTCCGGGAGGAGGGAGAGGGAGAAGCAGAGGTTGCACATGGAGCCAAAGGATGCTTCTTGACAGCTGAAAACACAGACCCGGGGCCAGGAGGAGAGCCAGGGTCATCCCGCCGGTCACAGCCTGCCTCTCCTCCCAGCGCACTCCTGCGACAGGCCCTGCCTAATACTCCCCCAGGATGGCAACAACCGGCAGCCGTATTGTACTTAGCTTCAGTACTCCTCCCAAGCACCCACCCGCCTGCTGTGCTCCGAGAGAAGCCACACACCATGTGCCAAGGGCACACGAGGATGCAGACACCTGCCCTTGCCTGCCTCGGCCACACCAGCTGCAGGGTTTACCATTCCCATAGGAGCACCTACACTGATTCGGGACCAGAACAGCCTCTCCTAAGAAGACTCAATCAAAATGACTAATGGCAGATCTCCGCTTAAGCGAGCACTGCACATACAGACTGTTACAGTGGAGGAGCTCGGCCGGGCAATCCGCTTGTGCTAGTAGGATGCAAGAGACACATAAGGGATAACTTCCTCTGGTGAGGCTGAAGTTAAGCCTCCTTATAAATATTTTTCTCCTTCGTTCTGAGGTCTGCCGTTTGCCCGCGGCGCTGTTAGGGTTTGTGCGTTCAGCAGCGCCACAGCACGGACGCTGCCGTCGCAGATGGACCCCAGCTATCGAGCAACTGGAAGAGCTCCAAGCCCGTATCAAAACCAAACAAGCCGCTAGATTATCCTTCCCTCTGAACGAGCCTCCCGACAGCGTTTAGGAAACAAGCCCATGCTTTGAAGTTACACTTCAAAAGATCATTAGGCAGAAGCCAGCCTGAAGGAGCCAAGCCCTCTCCCCCCAAAATACAGGCAGAAACGCCGTTTTCTTAAATTTAGAGAGGGAAGCAGTGACAACAGCTGGTGTCTTCTTTGGGGAAGGATGAAAACATTCTGCTTGGGTATCTCTGCCTTCAAGCCTGATCCTCATTCACGTGAGATGAGGAGAGAGACTTTCTAGCATAGCAACACCAGGAACTGTGTTAATTATGGAAGAATAAATTCCCCAAGTATAAACGGAAGAACAAATGCTAATCCTGACTGTAAGGTCTGGTTGGTATATCCAGGAATATCTGACAGGCTTCTTCCACAAACACCCCCCGAACTAATAAGAGATGGCTCTGCATTAATGCTCAGTTTCAGTAAGTACTTCATTTAGAATTAGGGACGAAATAAGTACTAACTCAGAGTCAAATGATCACAAGTTAATTTAATTTACAGTAAATGGAAGTTTAAACAACAGCCACTTTGTAATCAAGAATCCCAGTGCCAGACGGATGAAGTTTGATAAAGTAAACCAATTAGCAGAACAAAGTGGATGGAGGATGTCAGAGGCTTGCCATGTAATTTCTGCAAATTGCAAATTCTGCTATCATCTCCCCAGCACGGGGCAATAATTTGCAAGAGAAGACTCTCGGATAGCCTCAGGGCAAGGAGGGGTGGCATAAAAATCTTGGAAAGCATCCTGCGAGAAAAGATAAAGCTACAAGATGTTGTCTTAACCCTCTGAACATTTCCTATGCCATCACCTTCCAGCCCCTCAACTCTCTATATGGCCCCGAGCAGAAAAACGAGTCCCAAATCAGTGGGGACAGCTGGAAGGTGCTTGGAAAAGGTGGGGAGGTGACACTTGGAGCCAAATGGAAAGGAGCATTTAGGACAGGCTTGTTGATTTTAATTTTTAACTGCAGAAGACTGTTCTCATTTTCAGTGTAATCAGTAGCCATGACTAAAACCCAAATAAAACAATCGTACTCCAAACTTAATTGAATGCATTGGGGGATTAGCAGAAAAGGAGACGGAATAAGGACTGGTCACAAAAACAAAACCAAACTTATGCATCAGAAATTCAAGAAAAACAGGGATATAGTGAGAAGCAGCAAAAGTCCTGGGAAGGATTTAAAAGAACTCCTTGGCTTTTCAGCTCTGCAAGTAACAAAAGTGAAAGAAAAGAAGTCAAGTTGCTACGTGACCACAGGGCAGATGCCATGGATTATCTAGATACGGTTCTGCAACTAAAATTTATTTCTTCTGTTTTCAACAATGCCAATGACATCAACCCTGCAGCAGAGACAGGCAGGATAACAAGGATGGCACAGCCAGAAGTTCATCTCTCTGGTGGACTCAGTTTTCACAGATGAGCTTGAGCAGATGTGAATTAGAGGAGAAGTTAAAGAAATTTAGCTTCTAGAGAAGCTGGGTAAAGCTAAAAAATCCGTAAGTATCATTCTTGAGCTCTGTCTTGGTTTAGATCTTCATTAATGTCCCTGGCACAGAAAGCAGATATTTGCTAATGACATCTGTAGACGGATGGAAGCTCTCGTTGCTGACAAGGATTAAGGCATCATAAAGATATTACTGTAATACATCTGGAATGAATAATGTTTTTAAAAAGTGCCAGGTCATACACTTAAGAGTCAGGACCAAGCTCTGCTGCACACTGTGAGCCCATCAGTTGGAAATAGAGGGAAAAGGACTTGCATTGGATCACTGCTAAAAGACTGAGCTTCCTACACAATGCAGCTCAGGCCAGCGTAATCCTGTGACACATTATTGATCAAGGCATCGATGGGGATGGGGATGCTGCACAAGCAGCTCAGCACGATGAAGCTGTGCCTGCATTTGGAATTCTCAGGTGCCAGTGAAGTCCAAAGAACTGCACCAAACGCATGGTTAGCTTTCTGACATCTATTCCATTCCCATTTTTCCATCTCAGGGAAAACATTTTTTTTCCAGCTCTCCTCCTTCTCTCAGATTAACTCATTTTCAAACAGCCCGAGTATCACAGCCATTTAATTTGCAATGGAATTAATTCTTTTTTGTGGGCTGTGCCCCCTCAAATCAGATCCCACATAAAAAAACCTTATCTGTATATAATTAAATTCAGAATCGTTTTTTTATGTGTCTCTTGTCTTCATGGTTGAAAGAAAAAGCCCTTGAAAACCTAAGTGTGATTTCAGAACAAACCACACAGTGGAGGCTTCCTGAATTTGCAGACATCTTAAAAAGACAGCTCCAAGAGCAGAAACTGCCCTATCCATTTTAAATTTCAAAGTATTTAATGGCAATCGGAGAAAAACCAGAACTTTAAGGAATCTTAAAAGGTCCCCTAATCTCATCTCCCAAGCAAATCATCTGCATCTTAAGAGCTGTGCTGCAGCTGAGGTGATCTAAACATGCCAAGGAGGAAAGGCTGTGGGGAAAAGTAATGTCTTTTATTAAAGCAATCAATTTGGTTGGAGAAAAGACAACAGGCACACATACACACCACCGCATCCAGAACCTTGGGAGCCTTCCTCCATCTGTCTCAGTTCATGAGAAGTTTTTGGAGAGTTCTAGGGGCATACAAGAAAATAATTTATGCCCTTCTTGTGAAGGCACACATCCCTCAGTCCATTATAACTGGCATAAATATAAGTTCAAACCTTAAAGAGATTTAGACGATTAAGATCTGCAATCTTTTTGCTGTAAATATCAATCCTGAGATGCCCGTCTGCAACTTGAAGTCAACACAAGCATCTTTCAGCTTAAAGCTGCCTCAAAATCATTTCTGCTCTCAGAAACCTCCTCTTAAATCCATTTAGTAATTCCCCATTTCAAATGTGTTTTGTCATGCAGAAGACCATGCCAGGCCTGGGCTACATCCTCTTTCGTTTCTGCTGTAAGGAAGACACATTTCCAAAGATCTAAATCCAAGTTTCCCATTCCCTCTCACCATCTCGGCACGGACCCTCTGGAGCCACACAAACCTGAATCCGACTTTGCGGGAGTAATGCAGGCAGTTCTCCTTGACGTGAGTTTGGAAATAAGCGGAGCGGCAGACGGCGCCGCACTCCGGGCAGCAGTACGGAGACTTGTGAGCGTGGATCCTCTGGTGAGCACAGTAACTGCACTGGTTGGGCAGCATCATCTGGCACACTTGACACGTCTGATGAAAGAAAGATTGCATTATTTAGTTATTCTCTATTTGCTTTCCCCCCCGCCTAATTCACCCTAGAAAACTTTCAGGTTTAGAGGAAGCTCCAGCATATTCCTCTAGTATTAGCATTAACTCTACAAAGCTTTTCGGCTAGCCTTCTTATCAACTTTTTCCACAACAACCCTTACAACTTCCACAACTAGCCATTCCTGATGACAATATCCATTCTTAAATCATGTCCTCTGTGGTTTATTTCCTTTCTTCCCCCCCAAAAAAGGAAAACAAAATCTTTCACCTCTTAGCTCTGAAGATGTTCTGCTTGGTGCTGCCTTCATTTCCGCATTAAGGCACTTGAGAAAGAAAGCACTTTTCTCAACAAGCCCCCACCCCGCACCAAAATCTCCCCAAAAAAGCAGGAAAACTCCATTATACCGCGACTTGAAACCCTTACTGCTGAACGCAGTGATGTCCTGACGTGCAGCAGCCTCCCCCACCAAAACCACAGTTGTGTCTCTTGCAAAATTTCTTTGGACCAGATGAAATCTGAACTTTCAAAGACTACAAACCATGTGTGCTATGATACCATTATAGAAACTTCTTGATAATTAGAAATGATGCAAAGACTCTTTCTCTCTCTGTTTCTGCACCCTTTATGAAATCCATTTTTTTCCCCTACCCTTAGAAGGGGCACACTTACTAGCAATACAGCTTTGCAGAAGAAGCATCATTTAGTTGACATGTAAAGTTTTTTGTGTGGACATATCGTCCCAGTTTCAACAGCTGTCAAACCTCTACTCCCTTCCACAGGTGTCTCGACTCTTCTGTATTCCTTCAAAGCCCAGAAGCGGCTACTCATCCTCTGGAGGACGCATATTACTTGGTGCCTAAGCAGCAGTAGAGCTGGAGTAGATACCAGCCCTCCAGCCTTGAGCCCCCTAGAAGCTCAAACTCTCTTCTGTCATTAATAAACCCATGCAAAATTACTCCTCTGCTCCTAACTCTAGCTTAAGAATGAACTACAGCAAGCAGCTAATTATGGATTATCAAATCAGGTAATTTAACTACATCATTTCTTCCGCTACGGTTAAAGGCAGCTATGGAGCTCATTAGATCAGAGATGGTGAGAAGTTGTACCAGACGGTATGTCTACATGGTCAAACAAAGCTTTTAATGTAGCACGTGCCCACACAGACGGACCAAACCAAGTCCTGCAGACTTCACTGCTGGCAACCAGGGTAGAAACCCAGGACAGAAGCCCCTAAATCTGACCAAAAAAAAAAAAAAAAAAGAAGAAAATTAAGGGCCAACTCCATTTTCTGTATCATTGCTATTTCATGCAGCATCTCTGTGACGCTCCACTATATAACATCCATCAGACAACTGTCGAAAACACTGCAGATAATAGAAAGCATCATTTATAATAAAACGCAAAGCTATGACAAACCTGAAAAGGTTCATGGCGGGGGAGGGGAATAAAACTTAGCTCTCGAAGGAGGAAACTGCAGAAATCGCCAAACACATCAAAAGCCTCGGACACATGATGTGAGACATGTAGCAACTTAAGTTTAGAGAAGAAAAGGTTTCCCCAGGAAAGAGAGAAATGGGTGGAAGAAACCGTATTGTAGGACACCCATGCACGCACCCAAATGCAATTCAAATAAACTCAAGAGTATTTCAGCCCTTCCCCAAATGCTGGAGAAGCCCCCTAATTTCAGCGACGAAAAACAGTGCTACTGAGCCATGGTCTGAGCCGTGAAATATAAATGGGAATGGGAAAATGGGAAACAGAAAAGCCCCCAGGACCTCTCTGCAAGGAGCTGAGCGGGACCTTAAATTCTCCAAAGCTCTCTCAAATCTGCAAATAAGAAGAAATTAATGAATTAATGTTCAGGGCAGTTATATTGTATTTTATGGCATTTTTCTCTAACCCGGTTTCGATTTGCAATGGGAAATGTAACTTCTTGGCGTTGTTAAAACGAGACTCCTCTCACTTTGATCCCACCTAGTATTTAAGGCAGAGTCAGCACAACCACAAGCTGAAAGCACCTTTGCCCTTGTAGCTTAGCGAGAAACATTTTCTCTCCATATCCTGCCTTGTCAAAGCCAATTTAGTTTGGATTTTAAGTCTGCAAAGAGACGGTTTTGGGCTCACCTCTTCCTCCCCAGCATGCCATACCCATTGCCCCAAAGGCAATCAGCACATGTTAAAAACCTGAATTTTCACTGCTGTATGTGCTCATGCTGGATCTAAATATGCCAAAATTGCCCGAAATTTAATGGGCTCCATGCCTGGGCACTGCTGCCTGGGGATGTGCAGGCTACGGCAGAGGAGCAGCGAGCTCCCGTCACCTCCCTTGTTACATGAAAGGCTCAGCGGGGACCAAAAATATGCTAATGTAGGGCAGAAAAGTTTGGGGGACAGCTAGCAAGAGGCATCAACACTAGCGATTATCTTCTTCTGGCTCCGCAAGACCAGGAAGCCTGCCAGAGAGTGCATACACACGATATGGGAATAAAAAGCAAGACTAGTCGAGGATAAGGCTAAATGAATTTATTGCGTTTGCAGATGCCGGGGAAGAAGCTGGAAGGATTCCCATGCTGACACCACGCTCTGCAGGGGGGGCACAGAAAAAACAGCCCAAGCCTCCGAGTTCAGATCGTCTCGTGGAAGAGACAAGAAGTTAGGGAGTAAACAGACAAAATGAAGAGCGATGAGTCACAAGGATAAATCAGTAAGAATAAGGAAAACTGTCATCTTTAACCAGCATTACTTCTGTACTTGGGAAAAGTCAACGCAGCTTCTCCCTTTCTGCTTCACGAACCCATCCAAGCTCTTCAGAGGAGTCAACAACCATGTGGATAAGGAAGATCTGACCTGCAAACGGGCCAGGCTACCTGGATTTCCAAAATGGTTTTGCAACACGCTTCACTAAAGGATTTTAAGGAAACTAAGCTGCCGTGGCATAAGAAAGGAAAGTAAGTAGAAGAAAGGAATAAACAGTCAGTTCTTTGATGGAGGAAGGTCCCTGGGAAGTTCTGCTGGGATTTGGGCTCTTCAAAATACTCTCAAAGTTATTGGGAAAGGGAAACGAGCAGTGAAATGGCAAAGATTGATGATCATAACCCAGTAACTCAGCATGTTACAGATAACAGCTGACCACGAAGAACTGCAAAAAGACCGTACAGGACTGAGTGACTGGGTGATAACGTGGCAGGTTATATTTATCTATTAAATCAACCAAGGAATACAGTAGAGCTGAAAAAGGTTCAGTGGATGGAAAAAATTATAACCAGCATCTTTATGCTCACGCTTATCCTTTTCTTAACAGCAGGCCAGAAATCCCGCCCAGGGGCGTTGAAGTGGGTCCACTCATCCATTTTACGCCAGGAGCTGCTGCGCTCATCAGGAGCAAGTGGGCAGCCGCATGTGGGCTCCCCCACCGAAGGCTTCATCTTGGAGACGGAGTGGCTTTTTCTTTTGCAACTCTTCTGCTTTGTATGAGAAATTGTAACTTGGTTCCAGATGTCACATTTTTATCTCTCTCCTAGTTTTCCATGACTTTTCAAAGAAGTCTGGCAGCAATTTGAGACATTCATTAGTCATTTATTTCTAAAGCATGTTACCAGGATATGATTTTGAGTTGTGTAATGTCTGTGTTTTTCATATACTCCCATAACCTACACTTTAATCAAGAGTTATTTATTACAATTTTCTTTAATTCCGGTTTGCCTGCCACATTTCATTTGGGCTTTTCTTCCAGAAGTCACATTCACACACACACACAAAAATGCTCAGAAGCTCAGCCGTTTCAGAACACTTGATTTTATTCCCATTAGCTTCTTCAGAAGGGGAAAAAAATTAAAATACTCACTGAAGTAGCGTGAAGGTTGAAAAAACATACCACTCCAAAAAAGTTTGTCTATTAAACCTAACCCTGTGGCCACAGAGGTGTTTGCAAATCAGGAAATTTACAGTTAACAAACAGTTTTGGTCTGGAAAGTGCCTGCGTAGAGGCAGCACCTTTCTGTTTCATTGAAAGGACTGACTATACAACTCGGCACCAAATTTGATCCATTCATGAGCATGTTTTCCTCTAACCGCCGGCAGTGCAAAGCACCCCGGACCAGAGTCAGAGCAAGCTCCCATCTTCTCACACAGGCATCGCCGCAAAATTCCTGCGGCCAATCTTCTCACCCAGATAAAGCCTGTGAGCCACGAGGGCACGATCCCCATCGACGCACCACTGAAAGATGACTTGGGGCACAAAACTCTTTGCTTTCACTTACTCCCAATGCACAAGCAAAAAGGGAACTGGCTTCAGCACAAGCAAAGAAACTTTACATCGGTTTTAGAGTCTCTTTGCTGTTATAGAGAGTTAAGTGATGTTGATGAAGTTCACGTCTATTTAAGAGATGCCCCCAGACTACAAGGGTCCTCCTTGATATGATCATCATGTAGCTTCAGCTTCAGCTAAAAACACGGGGCTGCACCAACCCTAAGGCATGGGATCAGGGCTATGAAAGAGGAAAAGATTCATAAGCCTGACGATCTCTACATCAAAAAAAAAAAATTCTAAGGACTCAAAGCGAAACAGGTAGAGGGGAACAGAAATTATATTTTTGGAAATGTTTTGAAGAGCACTTGTCCTTTACATATTCAAACCAAAAATGCCCCACCAGCGGTGCCCCAAAGCCCCAGTTCTTCCCAAACGCAGCCTTTTGCGAGCTTTAGTTTTTCTACTTTAGGCAGAGCTGCAGGGGCAGCTGACACTTCTGGCAGCTGAGGGATCACAGGCAGTTAAGAGATTAGCAGGATGCTTCTGCTATAAGAAAAATTAGTGGCTAATTACTACTTAAAGTTAACCTTTAACTTCACATTAGCTTTCACTTACTGCCTCGCTGGGATAAATGCCAGCAACCTGCATCCTTCAGTGTAGATGCTCCAGTGTGCAGCGGCGTGGTGTGCTGGCTCCGGCGGCACAGCTGGTCTCCACACCTTCATCTCCGCAACTCTGCGCCCCTCTTCCCCACCTCCCACCGGTACGACTGTTTGCTGGGACACGCTACAGTCAAGATCCAGATGCTTGGAGGATTATTTTTGACTTGGTTTATTTCAACAATCTGGTTTACAACGCTGTTACACAAAATTTTACCGATGTGAGCAGAAGTGGCAAGCAGAAAATTTCTTTTGCTTCATCATGATAACTAAACTATACTCCTCCCCAGACTCTCCTTAAATGACTAGGCATCACTGCATTAGCATGTTCAATTTATAGATTAAAAAAACCCTACAACAGAAACTCAAGATTATTAATTTTAAGAAGAAAAATCTGGAACCCAACTGATAGCCTAAAACCAGTGTGTTCAAGTTTCAGTGACACCATACGTGTCAAGTCCAGTCCTAACACAGATGTTTTATCTTAATTAACTCCTATACACTCTTATATTGTCACACCCAAGCACAGCAAAGATATTTTTATTTCCTTGGTTATAATTGCCTATTTTAAGAGCCAATGCCACTGAGGGAGTCTGCTTGGCCTTCAGCCTAAAGGACATGACCACAAGACACCCTTCAATCCAAAACTTCTCCCATCCATCCTCTCTTCTGCTACCTCCAGCTTACTCCCCCTCTCCACCTCATGTCTATTCATCCTCAGCCTCATCGTTACATCCCACCTCCTCCTGTCGACCTTGTTCACTCTCATTTGTACTCCTGCACCTCCCTCACTGCCCAACACTCCCAAACCTAGTGTCTTCCTCAGACCTTCACCAAGACTGACTCCTACACACACATCTAAATCATCCCAAGACACCAGGGTGCTTAAGCCTCAATAAAATAAGGCATTCAACTAAAACCTTATTCTCTGGAAATTAAGGCCGTTAAATAAACACAAAATACATTTTTGTTTATGCGGAAAATCCCTGGTTAAAGCGTCAGTGTAGACCTAGAAACTTGACAGTTTTAGGAAATAAAGAGGAATTGCAATGGAAAAACCCACTAGTATCACAGATTTTAGACAACGTTGCATCACATAAGCTTAATTCTGAATTTTCTCAGTTCTTTTCTCTTTATGATCTCAGCTGTAATGTCAAGAATTTCAGTTTCCACATCTTTTTTCCTGACCCACTGTACTGGGTTTATGTGGCAAGGTTTTAGTAGGAGGGGGCTGCAGGGGTGGCCCCTGTGAGAAGGCACCAGAAGCTGCCCCCATGTCGGACAGAACCAGCTCCAAGATGGACCTGTCGCTGGCCAAAGCTGAGCCAACCAGCAACGCTAGTAGTGCCCCTATGATAATATATTTAAGAAAGGGTAAAAAATGCTGTG